TATTATGCCTATTTCCTATTGTACAATTATTACGTAACTGAACTGTTCATATTCGTGTTTCTCTTATCATTAGCTTTATTTTGACCTTTGACTTATTATCATACAATTCTTGAGTTATAATCAGTTTATTGATTACTTTGGTTTGTATAAAAACTCAGTATGTTTGTAAATGATGATTCATATTGCCGAGGCTGTTATTTGTGTTCTGGACTCAACTGGATGAGCTAGGCAGATAGGAAGGACCGAATAGCAATCAAGACTGCTCGTACGATTTCAAGTATCATTTGCGTCCGATCAATAAATTCACTCCTCTCTAATTGCACGTTCATATATATTACGAGCCATACGATATAACATTGTATACATGTGTTAATGTAAAAACCGTCACTGACCATTACTTATATGAGCTTACAACTCACAAACTTTTTAAAAATTAGTGATGATAATTCTTGAAATTTTACCGGTTTTCAAAAGGTTTTCAGTTCTCACTAAGGTGTACCTGCAATCTTGGAGGAGCCTATACCCACTATGGGATTCGAACCTGCTCCATCCAGCTTCACAGTTTGAGACGTTATCGCTGACGTTTTTGGGCAGCGACTGATGTTCTAACACGAGTTGGAATCCCTAGAGAACATCCATTTCCTTCAAGACCGGTGGTACACCTTGCTGGCGAGTGAAAACTAGTATGAAACCTAGGTCGAACAGAATTTTCTGCTGACTATATTCGACCACGAAACATAGATTAGTGAGCATACAGCAAACTGATTTACAGAATTTGATCAGCATCAAAGAAGTGGACAAACATGACATTGATCCAGTTTGATACTATCACATAAATTAACTTATTTCAGGAAATTTTTATATCTCAAAAAAGATATCATTCAATTCATAGTCCAATATTTGAATTGCTGGTTAACAATAAAACATCACAGAATTTAACTTTGGATTTTAAAATAAAACGGAAGAAATAATATGAAGTTTTAATTCAAGGTTAGTTTGGACATACAACTCATTGTGCATCCAAGCCCCCGAATGCCCTGGTACGGCCGAGAGTGGGGAGAGTCCGCTCTCCCTCTCCAAATACTCTCACATGGCCACGCGTATATAGCCTCTGTCACGGAAGTCCTACTCACTGCCTTCTCGTGGCATTACTGTTGTTTAAGAAATCGAGAGAACGGAAAGCGAATGTCCAACGCTTAAAACGGGTTGGTGGACACAATAAGTACACCTAGGGGAGTTGCGAAACCCTGATTCAAAACCAATGGTGCACATGGGCTGGCTCCAGTATCCTGAGGGAACAAATGGCGTATGAATCAATTGTTGGTCATCGACTACCATGGGACTGCATCTCCTCACGATGCTCCACTGCCTTGTGGGTTAGACTTTTATGTCAAAGGCTCCGGGTCTGCCTCCCCCCCCCTAAGAAAACCGGCTGCTTCGGTCTGGGCACCTGGTCAGTATCACAGCCTTTTCAAAAATCAAATGAGATATGTGCGGCGCATATCTATTAGGTGCTTCCTTGTACCAATATTTATGTGTTTAAATAAAATAAAACGTGTATCCAAATGATCGAAAATTAATAACGATTTCTGAAGTGTTTTAAAATCGTCAAATAATAAATGATCGTTTGTCGGGTAAGACAAAGAATTTAATTCAGAAAATAGACCTGATAATTGATTAGAACAAAATTACTTTAGTTTTTCATAAAAATTAAATAATTCCCCAGTGTTTTCAGTCGGCCTATGCTCCATCGGAAGCGACAGGCGTAAGTGATTGTAAACAGTGTTTTCAATATTGTAAGCAAAGATGGATAGTGACTAGCAGTGAAATCCAGGACGCACGTCAAGTCCTATTTGGGACTCGTCAGCTGGATTTACCTGCATCTCAGAGTTTATGTTCACTCTTGGACTCGAACACAGTACCGTTCGCTTCAAATGCCATCAATGGGAAGATTCAAACAAGCAATACCAAGTGAATTTAGTGTTTTTAAACACTTCTTGTTTCATTAAAAATATTGAAAATGAATAGATCCAAGCTCTGTGATCATTGAAGTACACAGAATTTCACTAGCGTACACATAGTTAAGTAATCACTCTACTAGGCTTTATCACATGGTCTAATCAAATATACATGGCATATAGGAAACTACAGGTAAAATAACTTTCACGTAAACTTCCTAACATAAAATTACCAAATGTCATCATGAAAAAATTCAATAAAATAATGAACATATGTTAGTTACCAGTGTTAGTGTATCATGATTATCACATTTAAATCATTCAAAATTCTTAATATCTGACAAGCATACATCCTCCTAAGGTCAAAAGAGTTGATTTTTTTCCGGTGAAAATCATTGTGACAATCATATTCTTTTTTAATCATTAGAAGTACAACAAGTATTTATCTGTTTATAGTGGTAGTTCTGCTTGAAACAAGCCCCTTCTTTTATGTTAATCTCAGTCGATAAGAGTTTGATGTTAAAAAATCTAATTGGTTTATTTGTTATTCCTTTCAAAGAAAATTCAAATAAGAAGGGGATTTTGTGGAGATTTTAGTAATTTTATGTAGTTGAAATCATGAGTCGATTGAAGCTAGACCACCATGGAAAATTTGAAAGCGCTCCACTGCCGTCTCGTCATATTGTGGGACTCCTTGATCCCACCTCGTGAGATTCGAACCCAGGACCTATCAGTCTCACGCTTGACCGCTAGACCACTGAGCCGGCATCCAACGGTATTAATATCTAACTTCAACCAATCCACGAAGTTGACCAACCATTCACCAATGTCTTCGGTGAGCTGATATCTCCCAACAGACCTGGTTGAACTCCAAGTTTTCCATGGTAGTCTAACTTCAATTGACTCATGATTTCAATTATATAAAATCTAAATAAATTGATACATGGTGAATATAGATCAGAAGGGGGTTTTGCAGAGATTTCAGTATTTTCATAGTTGAAGTCATGAGTCGATTGAAGTTAGAATACCATGGAGAACTTGGAAGCACTGGACGGCCGTTTTGTCCTATTGTGGGACTCCTCAGCACTGCGCATCCACGATCCCTCACTCGCGAGGTTCGAACCCAGGACCTACCAGTCTCGAATAGTTAGTTAGTTCTTTCATAGTTAGTTAGTTAGTTCTTTGATTTACACGGTTGAAACCTAATGTTCTCTCCTAAAAAAATTTCATTCATACTTCATAATATCCATTACAAAGTTTGATAGTCATAGAAAAGAAGTATCTATGTGAAATGGGATTACTTTTTCTTTGGCAATATAAACTATAACTATGTATTTAAACATTTCTTCCATGTGATTGTTTGGGTGTGTTTATTGGTTTAAAGAGAAAAAAATTGTTTTATCACCCTAATTTTCATTTATCTTTTACCATCACTTTGATGTTTGACGCATTTTTTTTTCTTTTTTTAAATGTGAGTTAGTAACTAATGTATTGTTTATCACTATGCTGTTATAACAAATATATATATATATATATCCACTTCCTGTGAGTCGTCTTATTTTTATGCTTGTCTGTGTGTCTGTGTGTTTACACCATACGTGTCTTTCTGAGAATATGTCTGCTCACGTTTATACTTATCACCAGTTTGTTCATATGATAAGTACTATGATATTCCTCCTAAAAGGGATAAATGTACATATACATTGGATAGTTGTCTGTACTACTACTACTACTACTACAAGAAGTTTGTTTAAACTTCAATTTCCAAAATTATTTTGTTTGATGTAAATTTTACTAAATAACTAAATGGTTTATAAGCAAAGATGGATAGTGGCTAGCAGTGGAATCCAGGACGCGCGTCTCATCCTACTTGGGACTCGTCAGCTGGATGTACCTGCATCTCAGAGTTGATGTTCACTCTGGGACTCGAACCCTGTACCTTTCGCTTCAAACGGCATCGCGTTATTCCCTCGGTCACTGAATCCTGATAGCCACTTTATCAATGGGAAGATTCAAACAAACAATACTAAATGAATTTAAACGGTTTATAGTTAGAATAAGCGAGACAACTAAACTTTATTGTGAATTCAGTATGAATGATGAAGTGAACATTTTTACATAGTAAAGCTTATAAATTCATATGTTCATTATTATCAGAAGAGGTTTTTATAGAGATTTAGTATTTTCATAGTTGAAAGCGTGAGTCAATTGAACCTAGACCACCAGGGAAAACCTGGAAGCACTAGACGGCCATTTCGTCCTATTGCGGGACTCCTCAGGTCGTGGATGCGCACTGCTGAGGAGTCCCATAATAGGACGAAACGGCCGTCCAGTGCTTCCAGGTTTTCCTTGGTGGTCTAGCTTCATGACTCATGCTTTCAACTAAGAAAATTCATATGTTCCAATCGTAATATTGAAGTTTAGTAAAACAAATTGACTGTATTTAAACTAAAAGAAAACCATCATTTTTACTGATCTTCAACAAAGTTCATCTTACGTTATTCAGTCACATAGTCAGAGCTATTAATAAACAATTGAGAAGGAAATGCAAAACAAACAACATGCCATAACAATCAAACTTTGAACATTAATATTAGTGAATTATGAATTCGAGTCATTCTTCTTACTGATAATGTCATGTCATATAATTAACTCATATATCAAACTCATTTGTTTTTTTTACTATTAGGTACGGAACATTCGAATGATAGATCGTCCAGTAATCAAAATATGAATGATTGATCATATCAGATATAATGAGAGTATAATAAGTGAACCTTTAAAGACTGAGTACTTGAATTCCAGAGTTATTCGAATTAGGGTTAGGAGATCTTTTAACGAATCAGGCAAGCACCTAAAGGTTTATGAGCAAAGAGATATGAAATCTTCACTTATTACAAGTGTACTCGTAAATAATATTACTAAATAAGCAAATCTATATCTTAACAAGTGTAATCAACAGAGCATTTGTTGCTAATGATTTTCAAATAGTCTAAGATAAGTTAACTATTAGTGTAAATAGATCAAAGTAAGAGCACTTACTGCCAGTATTTGATTGTTGAGGATAATAGACAAGAAATTGAGCATTACCACCAATATGTGTTGAGTTAGCCGCAGTAGGATGTGTTCCAGAAGGAGCTAGAAGATGTGCAATACGAGCTGCATTATTGCTAGAATCAGTTGTTAAACATTCAGGTGTAATTACACTAGCCAACATCAAATTATTATGAGTATTGCCACAGTTCGTAGCACCAGTTGTAGTATTAATAGTACCAATTGGTAGGGCATGTGAATTTTTCCCATGTGTTTGTACTATATTTAAAGCTTGACGTGGATAAGCAATCATTTGATATGTTTGATTATTTGGTAAACTACTACTTCCAGGTGTGTTACGACCTTTTATTGCTGTATTTGCAATCAATATAGGACGATAATTAGCTCCAAGTTGTGATTGTTGTACAGTACCAGTACCAGTAGTAGTATTAACTTGTTCGACAACTCGTGGAAGTGTTTGTATTTCATGTAATGTATTTGTTCCTAATGGATAGTGAGCAATCAGTCCACGATTACCTTGTACATAAGTTTCCATAACAGCTGGTACACCTGCTGCATGTATAACTGTATGCGTTGATTTTTGTATACCTGCTATATTATGACTTAATTGTGGTCTATGTCCAGTTGATTGATTTTGTTGTCCACTTAAAATATTTTGTGTACTTGTTATAAGACATTGACCACAAGGTACTGCTGTAGGATTAACTGAAGCCAATGGTGAATTAGTCACATTTGTATTTGTATCCATTGTGGTTAATGATTGACTTGAGATAAGCAGTTGAGAACGTTGACTGGACATAATCACAAAAATAATGGATGTTTACTAAGAAGAAAAAGAATAAGGAAGAGATATTTTAGCATACTAAATGAAATATACAACAAATGTCTTTGACAAATGATACAATAAAAATAAGCATATGGATAAATCAGAAAATCTCCACACACTAATTACCTGTTAAAAAAGAAAACTGAACCTACAATTACTGCTTAGTTAATCTAGTGAAGATTGTTATGATCGATTCATACTGAATTGTTAAGTTGATAATTAACTAGATCTAAGCTTCATGCTTCTAGACACTCATTAACAATGGCCGTTTTAACACATGCAAATAGACTCGTATCTAGCCCCCATCTTATTACGTCTGTGAAGTGTGGTTAAAGTGTCATAACATCTATTCTCTCTAAACTCGATGATCACTAAGATGAACACAGTACATATATAATCAGTGACACTCAGCAATAATGAATATGTAGCACGAAATATGTTAATAATCAATCATTAATTTTATGTATATATATAGTGGGTTTCATTTATCATAAATGTTCGTAATTCCTAAACAACAGTTTCTTCCGTGTCAGAATCGAAACCAAGAAGGGTCAATTAATTATGTTGTTCAACTATTCTCAAACCTGTTCACTCTGCTTGCATGAAATGACCGTAAGAATGACTATTCAGAGAGATATTCATGAAACGCGCCATTAGTAAGTCAGTCATTCAACGCAGAACCTGGTGAATGTGTGCATCGGTTCAATTTACCACACCGTATTAACACAGTGAGATAAAATTATCAAGCCGAATTCTAGAGTCGTAGTAGTGGTAGTAACAAAGTCAGTAATGGTTGAGAATTTACAACGTGAATAATAATTATTACCTAGGTGTATGATGTTAACAGGCTTTTCTCTTTAAAACGTTCACTCAAGACGAGAAGTTATGATTGCTAAAACAGATAAGATATAAAACTGAAATATGTTTTGTGTTTAATCCGATTGATCTGTGATTGGTCAGTGGTTGACTACTACCGGCGTATCCAGTTCTGCAGTTAATTAGCTGTACCAACAGATATTACTTTCCTTGAGCCTAAAGTCCTTATGATCGGTCTCAAGTAGATTTTCCATTATGTAATAATTTTATGAAGCTTTTAGACTGCAAGAGTGAATACAAACTCTTACTTTTCAGCTTAACTTTACCGTTACTTTGCAGAGGAAAGTGTGTGTGAAGTATGAAAGTTTCTTAAGAACCACTAGGAAATTCATGGAGAATCGCAACTCAAATACCATTGGCAGATGCATCTCCTGATACATGTTTACAGTTACAATGAGTAAACAATATGTCTAGACATTCCAAGATCTCATTTAACTTTCCGTATGACGTTGAATATTAACTAACCTAGTGTTTTTAGCTAACAATGTATTATGATGTAATGTGAAGATAATGTATCTTAGGTATAAAATGGTCATAATGGTTGATTATTCCCAAAAATGATTTAGAGTCATTGCACTGAAATAATTCAGTAATGAGAAGGGGTTTTGTAGAAATTTAATATTTTCATAGTTGCACTCTGCTGAGGAGTCCCACAATAGGACGAAACGGCCGTCCAGTGCTTCGAGGTTTTTTATGGTGGTCTAGCTTCAATTGACTCACGCTTGCAACTATGAAAATTCAGTAATCATTTCTTTGAATATTCCGTATAGAATTATAAATTCATATGCTGATTTTGACTTTTGAACTGAGCTGGCATGTTATATAGTATAGCAACGAAATTAAATTTCAAAATATCCAAACAGAATGACCTTCAATTGGTCATTAAATACAAACAAACATATCTAGCCATGTTAAATATAAAAGACTATATCAAGTTGTAAAATGTGTTATGCTTTTGGTTCCATTTAATGATTAATTTGTAATTGTGTCAATAAACTCTTGCTTTGATTTAATCTGACTTAATCGAACGGTGGAATTATTGGGTGCAAGTATATCACATGGTTGAATATCGTGATGATCTTGTGAGGTTTACAAATCAAGTCTTTTACCGTTATAATGAAACACAATATATGTGTTGAAAAACGAAAGACACTTTTTAGAAAAGAACGTCAATATAAAAGAGTATCAGTTATACACTACAATCATATATACTACACTAAGAGAGAACGATTATATTTCGGAAGATACATCATAACTACTAGTCACTATAAACATCACAATAAACAGTCATCCAGCAGTTTATTTTAGTGAGCCACTAAAAAAATAACAGGATATGATCACACTGAGGTTTGTTTTCATAAGTTTTATTTTATCTGTAAATACTTGTGCACTGTCGAAAATAATTAGTCATCAATTATTTGTCAAACTGAAGGCCTCTTAACAATTGGGTTTATATAGAATTTCTTGTAAACAGAGTAGGCTCATTATCCCTAGCAAATGTTTTAACGCTGAGTGTGAGATTGTTAATTCGAAATAACATTGATTAAATTAGGATGATTTCGTCTTATTTGAGTTTCGTTAAATGGAATTACCTGAACTCCAAACAATATTAGTATTCTCAATAAAGCTTAGACCAAGTTTCACCAATATCAAAGCCTTATCAGTTGGGTTCGCAAATCACAATAAGTCGTTTGTTCAACGATTGCGTCATTTGTTATAAGTCTTGGAGCATACAACTATTTTTTTACATTAACTAAATTGGTCAGTTTCTGACTATAAATGAGTTCTTTAAGTAGAGCTCCCCTGTTGTAATTTTCTACTTAAATCTGGTTTTGTTTAGTACAGAAGTCGATGAGACATTTTTTGTTTTATCTGTGATTACTGATATTGAATTATCTCAACTTGACATAATTTAAGCATTCTGAAATTAGAAACTCAAAACGACTGTTCATTTTTCAAGCTCTGGCTCGAGACTGGTAGGTCCTGGGTTCGAATATCACGAATGCGGGATCGTGGATGCGCACTGCTGAGTAGTCCCATAATAGGACGAAATGGCCGTCTAGTGCTTCCAGGTTTTCCATGGTGGTCTAGCTTCAATTGACTAATGATTTCAACTATGAAAATACTGAATTCTCCACAATACCCTGTGATCTATAATTATATGCTCACTAGGGACTGTCTTCAAGAGATATTTCCTTGAGTTCTAGTGAGAAGCAGTGACCAGTGGAGTTCAACCACGTCTGTTGGAACATATCAACTCACTGAAGACATTGGTGAATGGTTCCTCAATTTTGTGGATTAGTTGAATTTAGACATTAACACCGTTTGATGCCGGCTCAGTGGTCCATAGGTGAAGCTGTCGCTCATGAAACTGATAGGTCCTGGGTTCGAATCTCGCGAGTGCGGGATTATGGATGCGCACTGCTGAGGAGTCCCATAATAGAACGAAATGGCCTTCCAGTGTTTCCAGGTTTTCCATGGTGGTCTAGCTTCAATTGACTCATGATTTCAACTATAAAAAGTAAACGTTTAGAACCAATGGGTATCAGTAGTGACTAATTGTTCTGTAGATGGTAATTATTAATGAGTTAAACACCCATTTTAATTTTCATACCCATAGTGAGAAAATATAACAACCATAGGATGTAATCTAATTCCCAGTACAATTATTATGTTAATCGAAATCAATTTAATAGTTTTAAAGCTGGACAAAAGGAAAAATACAAACTCCTACGTATAAATTCAATACCAATTATATAAACTAAAGTTTTTCTGAATTCAATAGTTCAATGAGTAACGAAATGATGCTTGAAACAGAAACTAGTTCATTTAAATCTGAATGTAAGTGCATCAACACTAGGATACAGATGAATCAAAATGACAATTCTCATATAGGATTAAACTCGAGTTGTAGATTTCACTAGTTGCTACCCAATCGGTATCAATAAAACCTTGTAATTAAACGACAATATCAAGGTAATCCTCTTATGATGTACATATGCTAATAAAAGCTGATTATCTACTATCTTTAACATCAACAACGGAAAAATATATGGATTCATACAAATAAATTAATTTCATTCTTTTAAATAGACTGAAATATCCCAAGATTATCGATTAAATTTTGGCAACCAATGAGCATGTTCAATTAGACAATATCTCTCTATTGGAATTATTGATTTGAATTCAATCTTTTTTTTTGAAATAAATATCAAAGATGTATCGATTATTTTTGATTAAAAGAAAAAAACGATATTCCAGGTCAAAAAAAACAACACTGGAAGATAACATTCGATAAAAACTGGAACAGTAAAAAAGTGAGAGGGAATTAAGAAATTGAATAAAAAAAGTATCCATTTAAAGGAAAGAATCTTTATATTTTTTTATTTTCAAAAATTGAAACTAAGGTATAGTTAACATAATCTAGACTTGTAAGCAAAGATGGATAATGGCTAGCAGTCCTAAACATCAATGGGAAGATTCAAACAAATAACACCAAGTGAATTTAAACTTCACTTTATTGCACAAGCAAGTGGTTATCAGGACTCAGTAGTTGAGTGGATAACGCAATGGCGTTTGACGCGAAAGGTATTGGGTTTGAGTCCCAGAGTGAACATCAACTCTGAGATGCAGGTACATCCAGCTGATGAGTCCCAAATAGGACGAAACGTGCGTCAAACTGGATTCCACTGTTAGCTACTAACCATCTTTGCTTACAGTGCTTGTGAATTAAGGCTATATCGAGGCAGTATGCACAGTATGCACACATGCCAATAAGAGACTGACCAGTTGCAGTCCTAAACACATCAATAGGAAGATTCAAACAAACAATACTAAGTGAATGATCCAGACTGTTTTATTGTGATTTAAATCTATCTACTTGAAATAAAATAAAGTTTGAAACCACATAGATCATACTGATAATACTATTTTGATCTATATTAAAATGGGAACTGCGGTTCATTTATTGAATCAACTTTGTTTAAATGAAATTTTCTACCGTTAAAAAATAACTAATACTTATTATTATCAGAAGGGGTTTTGTGGAGATTTCAGTACTTTCATAGTTGAAAGCATGAGTCAATTGAAGCTAGACC